GGTGGGGTCACTGGGGTTTATGCAAGTGCATGAGCACGTCTACCGCCTCTTAGCGCTCCGGCCCCCGCCGCTTCAACACCACTTGTGCCTTTTCTTCTACATGGCACGATGGACCATCCGGGAAACATACCTCGGTAAACAGAAAAATCTTGTTGGCTTCCAACAATGGATGGACTTCGAGCGCCGCCACAACGTTGCAAGGCCTGCGAACGCCGACCGCTCCGTCGACGTTGAATGTCGCAAGAGCGTTCTCAGTGAGCTTGAGTGAGAGTCCTTGCGACATGAGCATCAATTCCAAGCGCAACACTCACTTTTGGCTCAAGTCGATAGTTTCCAATCGGCAACTACCCATCGGCAACCTCCATCGACAGTAGCATTGTGGGCAGCATCAATACTAGCAACCAGATACCACAGGCCGGAGAGGAGGTGCAATCGAGTCTTAATGATCAGTGCATAATGTACAGGTAATGAGCAGCCCAGTAGTAAGGCAACAAAGCAGAGCAGAACAATAGGAATTGATTTCCACTTTCGACTGGTTGGTACACATTGTTCCTCAAAATCCAGCCACCTGTTGGCCCGCGATGAAATGACCAATGCCGATCCGGTAAGATGTGATAGGTCTCAGCCAGTAGTCATTCCCACAAGATGGCCAAGTGCATGCCTACCTCCTTCTCAGCCGCTTCGCACGCGCCTTGACCTTGTGGTTGTGCCCGTCAGGTCAGGCTCGTTGCGAAGCAAATGCATGCTCCATATGCCGTCAAACGGTGTTTGCCGCAGCAGCGTACGGTCCAGCTTTCGCCCGGCTCGTCGTACGGCCGTCTCACGAAGTCAGTGGCTCACGAGATACTACCATCCTCGGGATGAGATTGTCGTATGCGGTGATTAGACGCCCCTTTCTCGCGAGGTCTACTAACAACTCGTCGCTTCCAGGCTTTGGTATCACACGCATACGGCTGCGGTAGCTGCGATTCTCTTACTCGTCAGGCTATGGCATCTCACCAACTCATACGACCTCACCAACTTCCAGTTCAAAATCATCACAATTTCGCTTCATTTCTCGCGCCGACTAACCTCTGGCAAAGTATGAGTACCAAGGTGCAAGTGGAGACATTCACAAGTCTTTCCGCCTAGTCCAGAGCATATAGACTCAAGAGGAGGAAGTAGAGAACCTGTGGACAGACTCCTTTGATCAGACTCCTTTGATCAGACTGCTCACTCACACTTCGGTCTTTTCGGCCCCACCGAAGACGACGCAGCTTTGCGCAACATCTATGCACCATTCCTCGAACTCGAATGTGATGACATAGACCCCAAAATGGGGGCACTTGGAGAAAACGTCTTCACAATCGGAATGCTTATACCAAGCCCTGTACCTACAGGTTTCCGGCTCACAATACGCTTTGCAGCAAGAGTCGCAACCGTATCCATACACTTCTTCTGAGCACGCTCGGCACCCAGGACACTTCCTCCTGAATTTTCGATCACAGACATCAGCCATTATTGATCGGCTGCTGCCCGGAAACATGCTCGGAGCCGATATGCTCGATAATAGCTTTTGTCGGGTCCTTGCATTTCTCACCTTTCACGTTGCGAATTCATCGCAAGCAGGTTCAAAGGATTCTGGGTGAGTGATGAGCAGTACTTATGGTGCTTCAAGAACACAGCACCGGAAAAGGGACCTTCTACCGTAGTCCGTATGCACGTTGGCGGTAACTATCATGTGCTTATTGATGTCGACCCTTCGAAGCGTTTGTGTACGCTCATGGATCCACGGAGAACCAACAGCCATTATAAGCAAAACGGATCTCAAGCCCTGTCATTTACTCGCAAGCTGAGAGTAGCTGCGGCGACCTGGACTGACAAGCATGTCCAAGGTGCTCCTGTTCAGAGGAATACGCGTAGTCGTGGAGTACGTGTACTCTACGATATGAAGATCCGAACATCGAGCGGAGGCACAAGCCCAATCTTGATATGACAACTGTGCGATATCTTTTTGTTGCTGGCGCGTCCTATCTTTTCGAGCAGATTTCGCGACAGTCTCCCTCCTCACTGCCTGGTCTTCCCCATCTTGCCGTTCTCGGAAGACAAGGCTGAAGGCGCTGAACCACAGGAACTGTAAAGTCATAGCGACATGCGAGACACAGCTAGCAGTCTGTACACAGCAGTATGCGCTTCAGCACCCAGTGAATGATCGCATGGCGCTTGCTTTGTGTCGCCTCCATCGAGCAGATCTCTGAAGAGAACAGCCGACGAGCATTCGCGGAGCATTAGTCGCGGCACCAAATGTTCGGATCTAGCTATAGCTCGATCCAGCAGGCCTTCCTCCTTGAAAGAGTGCCAGCCGATGTCGACATTGAATCTCTCGACTCACTCATAGCGGTGAGCGAATTGTTCGAGAAGCTGTCCCATTCGACAAAAAGCCGGTGCAGCAGGACATAGATGTAAGACAGATTGGGAGGCATGTCCACGATCACGTGGCTCGTCGACGCGCACTGCTGAGGATATTACATGCCTTGGCGTAGGTGAGGGAAAGTGCTCGACACCTAATTCGTTGGCTTCTGGTGCACCGAGAAGACATCTTGCGCTATTCCATATACAACAGCACGACCTATCAAGACGTCGTCGCTGGGCAATGACCAATCAGTATCCAACGTTCACTTAGATTTCAGCTTTCGGACTTCCTTTCCTCAACCTTTTTCTCATTCCCTCTACTGGCCAAAGGGCAACATTCTCTCCTTCATGAACCTTCTTACCCTCTTCCCTGGCCAAGATTTTACTGGCGAAATGATCACTTGTCTCTCTCAAACTCTGCAGTGCCTAGATGGAAGGCGTTCCGCAAGACATTTAGCACTTCCGCTGCTAAAACGCCCTGTAAATCAGTGATCAGATCCTCGGCTGCCACCACACCTTCAGTCATGAACATCAACTTCATCGTGAGGCTCTTTACTCCCCAAATCCTCGACTTGGCCACAATTACGATCCAGTTGTTCTGGATTACATTCATCTCCATCTCGATCTCAGCAGCCCTGTAGCTTCCCCATGACTGGCGTCCTGACCTGGACCGCCATCGATAATATGTGACTTTTGTCTGTGCCCAAAGGGGATTTTTTTTTTTTGCCTTCATTTATCGTAATCTAAGCTAACCCGCAAAGGGCCACATCCCAGAGCCAAATAATGTAGACAAATGAACACCAGATTACGTAGATCTTCATGCCATCAGCTTCGGACATAATCATGATCTGGTGCGGCATCCTCGTAGTCACGCCTAGTGATCTATTGTCATGGACAGGATGGAAGCTTAACACCCCGTCTCTCACCAAATTGTCTTGCGCGAAGTCGGAGGTGCTGATCCCGAATACAATCTTCGACAAGAGCCTGCTGTTCCACGAGTTGAGCATCACGGTTGTGGTTGTGCTTTCATCTGTGATGAAGATCGATAGCCATCCAGGTCTATCTTTCCTGTTCGTCCCCGATCTCGCGAGCAATTTGGGCGAGTTACTACAGTCCAGCATTAGTTGGTCCAAGAGGGACCATTCATATGACCATGTTCCGATGGGAGCCTGGCAATCCTCGCGACTCACAGCTAAGTAGGATTCAAAACGCCTGGAATTCGGAAAACAGGTCACAGCTGTTGTTGAGTACTGCTAACGCTATGCTTGATGGCAGACCTGGCAACGAGGTTGGCTAGGAGCTGAAATATCAAATGATGGACACCACGCTTTGTTCAATAGTAGCAAGGCTTTACTAAAACCTTATCGCTGCACCCTCCGTAACCATGACACAATGCTCGTATTCAATAGGGACCTTCCAGATGAGCTGCAGAAATTTGAATTAGGGTAGTGCATCAACCCATGATGAGTTGCGAGACCAAATTTCAGTCAGCTCGTCCGTTACACGGACGAGCTGGACCTTGGGGAACAGAGAGCAACCAGTAGTATTGCTCTGGCCTTCTTTCACACGCGCGAGTATTCCGATCACGTATGTAGCAAGCATATGATGTACCGGTCTGGCTTGCATGAGCTGTGTCCGGAGCCAGGATATCGACCTCTGGGCCGCTTGCAGAGTATAATACCTGTGTCCTCACGTCTTTATCCAGGGCCCCTAACAGTAATTACGCTGGGCAGACATGCTAGCAACGCCCTGCTCACGCATAGTTTGACATCTCAAGTGGCCGCGATCCTTGTAACCTGTGATGGAATGGGATTCAGCCGGCCTGTGAAACTCTCTTCCACGGGACTCATAACCACGCTGCCGGTGAAGTTCAGCAAGACCTTATCCAAGGGCTCTCATGCGGTCTTATGCTGGCGCTCGATCACATGATATAGCATCTGAAACAGCGGTGTAATCTCAGCTATCTTTTCGGCAGCCTCCGAGGCCCAAAAGGCTGTGTCGAACTCCCCTTTCGTCCGTACGGGTTTCCAATCATTCTGATGCATCGTGGTCGTCGCAACTGGCGTCGATACAATGTGCCTGACTGAAATATGCACGGATATCCGATGAGTATCACATGCGTTCCGTTGATGTATTAATGGCGTTGGCTTGTGGCCATGAAAACCCATTAATCGAAGGTTTGCGCAATGGCCGCTGCTCGAACGGCGTTCAGAAGAGATCGCTCAATTTTTCTTGAATTGCGTCAATGACGAAACCAACTTTCTGTATGGCGTCACCGCTCGATATGCAGGTCACTGATACATTGATACTGCTCGTCTGCAGACTACTCTCCTTGACTGGCTTGCGCGGGAGCTGATTCACGAAAACGGTCCAAGAGTGGCATGCACTGCAAAGGTGAAGGACATTTGATAGCTGACGGGACGCGAAACCGATTGGCTTGTTGTCTTGTGAGAGTCACTCTCGTCGGCCTGATGAGGATATCCGGATACGGAGCAGAGTTCTGCACATACCATGGCTTAGCCAGCGTCAAGGAGCACAAACCGGTCGCGATGCAAGCCTCTAGATCGTCCCGAGTCCAGCAACTTTCACAGACTGCGCAATGACGACTCCTTCATCTGGTGATCACTATTGATGCGCACAAAAGTGGTGAGGTGAGGTGAGGGATGTATGTTGAGTTTGGCATCGGGACGGAAAGTGAACCCTGAAATCTGAGCTGAACCTTGCTCGATCGTCTGCTGTGGCAAGCGTCGGACCGCCATCGCACCTGGCTTCGAATCCATCGATGCAGTGCAACTGCAATCGTTGCCAACCTCCCAATCACGTCGCCCACCGGCGATTGTCAACACCCCACTCGCCACGATCCGCCCATCACGCGAATGCGTCACCACCCACGCGTGTGCCTATCGCCAACAAGCTTGCGAATATCAAAAGAAGACCGCTCTGATGCGGACAAAGACGGCTGATATCGATGAGGACGAGAAGGGGCACGGGGCTGGAAAGGGAGCAGTGAGGGCAGCGGCTTCTGAAGGTTAGTGAAGGGAATGGACAATTGGAACTGGTTAAGCTCGAGGCCTGCTGAATCCAGAGCACACTCTCCCGGTCCCCAGGGCGCAAGG